TACAGTTAGTTTCAAACAGCAGATTTTAATAGACTTTTCTCACATACACGTGCCATACATACATACACAGTTTTCATAAACTCGTTTTCAGTGTGGATAGTTGCTCCGCACTGTAGGACTGTTTCCTTTCCCGTCCCTGTAGAGTTATCCAAACTGCATCGTTCAGTTCAATTGCTCTCATTCTGAAGCTGAAATGTTGCAGGACCAGCATCAATGTCTGGAATCCTCTAGCTCCTTCTAAACTTCACTAGCCCTAAATTGTTCCCAGTTTAGCATGTAGCTTTGTTCCAGATCATTGTAGGGGATCTAAACAGCACTAAAGAAAGCAGACTAACCAAGCACTGGATCCATTAATGCCAGCAAGAGACCTCCCAGCCAAGGAAGAGAGTCAACTCCAACGGATATGGCCAGTCCTTCTGAAACTCAAGATTGCTCGCCTGAATCCCATTTAGCAGAAAAGAGCATTTTGTTTTGGTCCTCTGCTGGCCCAGATGGAAGGAACGCAAAAATTGTAAAACTAGGCAAAAGATTTGACTGGGGATGCTAAATCAAGCTTTGAGAGAATGAGAACTAGTGACCGGGCTTGGAGGTTATACCAAAGTGGAAGAAAAAAGGTCTTTCTTGAGCAGCCATCTATAAATATTGAAAAGGCCCTCAGTTTTCTGTTGTCTATGAATCTCGGTCATGAAGGGAAGTCAACCAAGTGTCTTGCCCAGCTATCCTCCTAAATGAGACTAATTCATTTTCAAAGATCCCAGCAAGATGAGAAGTGACTCCACTTCCAACTCCCCCTTCCGTCTTCCAGTTGGGCCTGATTTGGAGGAAGTGGCATTCTTGTTCTCAGACTTTTCACAAAAAGAGACATTCAATGATCACTTTGACAAGTGGAAAGCACGGAAGCGTGATACTAATGTTTTTCTTGTTATACAAGGCAGGACTCAAATTGTTTTTTCTGATTTTCTTTCAGAAGCAAAATCGAACAACAAATGGCTATTTTATTTTTTAAAGGACAGTGAAATTGATTATGGATCTCAGAGTATAAGAATAAAACAGTCAAATATATATATAAATGAATATATATAGAGAGATATATATGTATACGCATACATAATGTAAATTAAGAAATAAAACATATTTAAACAGTGGGTGCTGGTGTTTTCATTTTTCCTGTCACTGCTGCTGTTCTGCACTCTGTGCTGTGTGAATTTACACTATGAGGATGAGCACAACAATTGATGTTTGCTTTGAAATGCAACCTCTGAAGCCTACAGGAGCTTCTGCCAAGATGAAAGCAGAGGAGGGTTGCCAAATTGTGTTTGTGTGTGTGTGTTTAAGAGGGACTTCCCTTCTATTGGTTTTTCACAACCTGACATGTTGACCAGCAGTTTCTACAGAATATGGAAAGCCACATAATCCACACCAAAAACTTGCCAATTTTGAGGAAACCTATCACTGTATACTAATCGTTAATTCAATCCAGTGCAGGAGTGAAAACAAGGGTATTTTCTGCTTCTGTTTTTTATATAGTATACAGACACAAAAGAAGGCAGAGTCACCTGTTGACGTGCCAAAAACATACCAGTTAGTTCTAAAGATACTAGATTGTTTTAAATTTAAAAGCTTCCATTTCAGATAAACTATCCCCCCCCCCAAAAAAGCATCCTAATTCTTCTCTCCTTTCATTCCTGCTTCTGTGGGGGTCCTTGGTGCTCTCTGAGCTTGGTTGTTTTCCTGCAGATGTTTCATTACACAACAAGGACTCCACAGTTCAACCCTGATCTTACAAATAATCTCCTCTATGTCCTTATAAAGCATTACACACAATATTGCTGCAGACTATACATTTCTTGTAATGTTGGGAGGAGAGAGCATTATTCAGAGCAGTGTTTCTCAAGCTCAACCAATTTAACTTTGTAGACATCAGCTCCCAGAGTTCCCTAACCAGTATGCTGGTTTGGAAATTCTGGGAGTTGAAGTCTACGCAGCTTAAAGGAAAAGCACTGATTGAGAGGATGTTTCTTTGGAAGGAGACCTACTGCTGTCTTGCACCCTTAAGTAGTACGAGTTGCAGGGCTTTGTAGCTGCTGGAAAAAACCAAGCATCTTCTAAGCCATTTTCATATTTTCCATTTTCATATTAGCCTGATACATAGCATATTACACAAATTCAAACTATAATAATAATGATGATGATGATGATGATGATGATGATGATGATGATGATGATGATAAAGTTGGAAGA